ATATATCCTATATATGTATATATCCTATATATGTGTATATATCCTACATATGTGTATATATCCTACGTATTTGTATATATCCTATATATGTGTATATATCCTATATATACATGTATATATCCAACATATGTATATATATCCTGTGTGTATATCCTACATATGTGTATATCCTATATATGTGTATATATTCTATATATGTGTATATATATATCCTACATATGTGTATATATCCTATATATATGAAAATATATCCTATATATGTGTATATATTCTATATATGTGTATATATATATATATATATATATCCTACATATGTGTATATATCCTATATATATGAATATATATCCTACATATGTGTATATATCCTATATATGTGTATATATTCTATATATGTGTATATATATATCCTACATATGTGTATATATCCTATATATATGTATATATATCCTATATATGTGTATATATCCTAAATATGTGTATATATGTATATAGATCGTATATATCACATTATGACTTGTACTTAATTGCAAAATGATAACCTCAATTATTATTCCTGCCTTATACTCAAGGACCAACAAGTTCACTACCAACTTCTCAACAAGTAAAACAAATGTAAACAAAAGTCAGTAAGTACATTTCACATGGTATAAAAATGAATGCAGGTACATTAATGACTATGGGAATATCTTTTGGAACATTTTCCATGGTAAGAAAAATGTTCCATGGTAAATAAATGACTGTGGGTACAGTTCCCATAGTAAACAATGACTGCAAATAAATGTTTCTGGGTATATCTTTAGGTACATGGGCAGAGTACATTTATTTCTCTTGAAACATTGACTGTGGGTCTCTTAGTGAACAATGACTATTGGTTCATTTCCCTTGGTGAACAATGACTGTGGGTACATTTCCCTTGGTTAACAATGACTGTGGGTACATTTCCCTGGGTAAACAATGACTGTGGGTATATTTCCCTTGATGAACAATGACTGTGGGTAAATAGTCCTTGGTGAACAATGGCAGTGGGTACATTTCCCTTGATTAACAATTACTTTGAGTACATTTCCCTGGGTAAACAATGACTGTGGGTACATTTCCCTTGGTAAACAATGACAATTATTTGGTACATTTTTTCCATAGCAAATGCATACGTTTAGGTGTACATTCCATTGTAAGCAAATGTTAGTTGGTACATATTATCCAAGTTAAAAAAATGTCTGTGGGTACAATCAGAAAGAAGAAAATCTATTTTCCTGTGAAGTTTACCAGAGTACAGTAAGTGCATTTTCTGTCTATACAGTAACAAATATTGTTTTGATGGAAATAAATATGATCTCTCTGAGTCAGCTGCAGCTACTGCAGCAACATATGTCAAATATTTTGTTAAATGCAACTGCATTAAGATATCTTACATTCTGTTTTTGTTTTCTTTGAAATAGGAATAGTATTCCTTTGTACCATATATGAGCTATGGGATTCTATTATAGGTATAGATAAGTAACAATATTAAGAGCACCTGCTAAACTACAGCCTGAATAATGTAGAATTTTCTAAGTACAAAAAGGGCAAGAAATTATGTCAAAACACATGTAAGTTAAGGGCCTTGGACAGTGACCTGCTATAGAGCTGTCATGTAAGTATATAAAGTTTAAACCCATTCCCTCACGTAGTTTTGAAGATACCGAAGTTTCAACCCATTCCCTGCATTCAAAATCCTCCCATATTTGTCATTTCTTTAGAATTTTTTTTGTTTTTTGTTGTTTTTTTTCCTCTTTTTTTTTTTTTGCTTTTTTTATGCAGCGGTGTATGACTTAATTATTCATATTTTCACTTTTTTTTTCTTCTTTTTTTTTTGCCAATATAAGCAGACAAACAGATTAACTGGGCATGTAAAAATCTTATGCATCAGTAAAATTATATGTTGTATACTGTATATCAATATTTTATAAACAAGGAGACCAGTCAATCATGCATCCTGCGCAAACACATATGTACACAAAAAACAACAAGAGAAAATAAATGCACGTGGCTAGACAATTACGCAACTAAAATGATGTGTTCAATAATTCAGAAACACTTACAGAAATGCATTTGATCACACAGCTGCTTGGTGTATCTATATATGAGCCGCATCATGACAAAACCAACATAGTGGGTTTGCGACCAGCATGGATCCAGACCAGCCTGCGCATCATGCTGTTCGCTTACAAACCCTATTACAAGTAGAGAAACTGATAGCAAACAGCATGGATCCTGATCAGACTGCGCGGATGCGCAGGCTGGTGTGGATCCATGCTGGTCGCAAACCCATTATGTTGGTTTTGTCATGACGTGGCTCATATATGCATGAATTTTGTGTGAAAATTGAAATATTACTTTATCCATATCTTCTGCCATGCATTCAAATTGACAGCTGAGAAATTTTAATGACCCTTCTTTTTTATCACAATACTTTGCAGTTTAAATTTTCTTACTGTCTTCTCATAAACAGCTGCATTTTGATGAATGTTCATGTATGTGATGCAATTTCTGTAGAGAATGTCGGCGAAGAAATATTTCTTCCCTTTCATTGAAATTTTGTGCATATTAATCAAAAGACGTGAGAAATGTATTTGTATTCAATCTTAAAAAAAGTTTCAACATTCAAATGTTAGTAAAATATTGTGTTAAAGCTTCAATTTAAAAGTTTTCTTCAGTCTACATCAACAAGGAAATGTTCAGGAATGACATGTAACTGTTTGGTATAAGACTGCTAAAAGACAAGTCTAGGTTAATAAATGATCATTTATTGTAAAGTTAAGTGCTCTAGCAACCTTGTATCAAGATTTATGCACCAGGATATTTTTGCACTGACTGGAATAGTGGGGACTTTTTGACTTTTTTCGATTTTCAAAACCCCTTGTAAAGACCATGCACTGTGGGCAGAGTAGGCCAGTAAAGTCCCAGCTATAAACCTAGTATCCCTGGCCATTTTCACCTTGAAACAAAACTATAGATTTCTTCAGCAGTGCTGGAACAGATTGAAGGTTTTCTTTGATTTGATTGGGTTAAATGGCGCACCAACACAATTTAGGTCGCCCAAATAGGAAAGATGATTTCGGCTAACCTTAGGTGTTACTAACTAAAAGCAAAACCAGGGGTCACAATCAACTCAACTGTTGGAGCTGAGAAATGCATAATAGACTCTAGTAATTCAGTCACCTCTTTTGATAAAACTAAGCTCATTTCCTCTGGTATCCCCACCAGCTTTAACTAATAGGTCATTCTGGGCACAGCTAGTACAACCAACCTACAGTTAGTTAACGAGATGGCCTCATAACGTCCTATGGCAACAAATGTTATATAATTCAAAGTACATTATGTAATTAAATTCAACAAATCAGTCACTGGGGCCTTTTTCATAAATAATTTATATCCGTAAAACATAAAATTTGAAAATTCATGCCAGCTAATATTTAGTTATTTACAGTATCAATATCATATTTTAACGATTTAAACAAGAATATTTCCCAGGTAAATCACCTGTATTTAGAAACTAGACTTTAATTTATGCAATATCATTGTTTATTTAAATCCATTTGTCCTTGATGACTCGTCTCCAGCGTGACATTATCCTTGCATATCATTTCCAGGCAGCCGTTTTTATATTGTTTACTTAATAAAATCCTTCCCTACCCATAACATGTTTATTCTTGTGAAAATATCCCAGCTCACAAAAGATGAATAGTGTCTGCAGTAGCTGAGTTTATGCAATATTAGATTATTTATGCTGAATACTGACAATAATAGATAGCAGAAATGTCTGGAGCATCTTGTCAAAAGACCAATAAATCCTCCAGCAAAAAATCATTTGAGCCGCGTCATGACAAAACCAACATAATGGGTTTGCGACCAACATGTATCCAGACCAGCCTGCCCATCCGCGCAGTCTGATCAGGATCCATGCTGTTCGCTTATAAACCCTATAACAAGTAGAGAAACTGATAGCTAACAGCATGGATCCTGATCAGACTGTGCGGATGCGCAGGCTGGTCTGGATCCATGCTGGTCGCAAACGCACTATGTTGGTTTTGTCATGACGCGGCTCATTTGCATTTTCTCAAATTGTGCATTCAGGTAAAATTTTAAAATTCACATTTTCTTCTCTGTTTTTTTTTTCCCTCATTATTTTTTTTTCCATAATGTACTCTTAGATGCTTACTAATTATTCAAATGATCAGAGGTATGCATAAGATGATGGTCCATTAGAAGCCTTACTTGGCTAATTGGACCTGTCCTGCTTAAATACAGTCAACTGTTCCAAGGCCATAATTAACCCTGAACATGCAGGTTCAATTTGTTATGTTTAAACTTCAATTTTTTTTTGTCTGTAACTCAGTGGAGTTCCTTTAATATTGCAGGTTTGAAAGCCCACTAATCAGGAGCCAAAATCTTAGATAGACAATACAGAAAACATTTATTTTTTATGTAATAAAACACTGTTATAGCGTGTTTACGCTAAAGACTTGTAAATGTCAGAATATAATCTTTGAGTGTATGTCTAATAGTTAGCCAAATGAAAATGTCAAAAAGTAATTTGAATATGAATCTTATGTACATCAATAAAAGGACAGGAAACATGGCAATCCCATGAAACCAGAGCCATCACAAGTGGGAGGCCACGCTGCTTTATAAGCTTTACTGGGTCAAGGTCATTCAAAAAGTTTCTGACCAGAAACCTGATTTGTGTGACAGTAACCCACATGAACAAATGAAGACCTGTCTGCCTGCCCGCCCTCAATTTACCAATTTAAATAACCAGGATTTTCAAAATTGAAAATCAGTTAAAAACATCAATGACATGATGACTGTTAACATGCTATTTAAAGTTGTAAAGCACTTTAAAGTCAATATTGTGTTTTATGTTTTCATCATATTTTTGTATTTTATGCTTAAACGGGTGGCATCAACTAGCGTTTTTTTTATTCCAAGAGGAGTTTAAAAAATATCTGTATACTTACACTGAGAAGCACCGGTGCTCTGAAATAAGGGGGGACAACTCTGTTCATCTGACTGGTCAGCACACTCAAATTTACCGTTACACAACTGCACATCGGACAGGCATAGACGGTCATCACAGATATGAACACATGAAGCTGAAAAATACAAAACAACACATGATAATATAATACGATATTACGTTAGACATATTACAACATGTTGCATCATATCATGGGGTTCTGTCGCATCAAATTATAAAGTTTAAGAAAAGATCTTTTCATTGATTGCTTAACCGCTGTAACATGTGTTTCTTCATTTTCAAAACAGCTATATATTACATAAAGAAAGGCAAATCGCTTAAAGACAAGAGCACTGCATATGGTGTTAACGCTCATCTGTTAAAAGTTAATAGGGGGCATAACTCTAAAAAATATTGCTTTCAGAATTATGCCCAATGTCCCTTGTCATGATAACGCAAGTATTCCGAGTTTCATGTTGATATTTTTGAAATGTTTGAAAATTAGGCTACATTTTTGCACAACAACAACGATGAGGCCACAGTGATCATTTTAGCTCAACTTTTTCTTCAAAACAGACAAGCTAAAAACTGTAAAAGCACTTCTCATGGCTTTTTAGACTACTTCAGCATACTCAAACAATACAAACAAAACATATTCAACCAAGTGGTACCGTGATCAGAAAACCTTTTTTTAAAATGAACACATCATTCAAACTTTTTGAGGAGTACTGATTCTGCAGACCAAAATTAATCCTCTACAGTGGACTTCCCAGTACCATTAATATAAAATCCTACATGTTTAAATTGTAACTTTACATCAAAGGTCTAAAAACAGTCTAGTTCTAATGTGACAATATCAATACATTCTCATAACTTTTACAGACCATAGTCTACGGAATTCGCTTTTGAAGTTTAATTTTGTTATAATTTTCAAATATACAAATATTGACAAATATTTCAAACAACTTTGATGTTCTTTTTGAAGTCAGACAAAATTAATGGCATTAATTCTTGTAAGAGCAAGCCAAGATCAAAAGTTTTAGACTGCTGACAACCAGCAAATTCAAGCCCTGAGAGCTGGCAACAAGCAAGCTTTGATATACAATACCAGCAAGTCCTAATTAAAAGTCCTGATGCAGCAAGAAGATGTAGCTTAAAGGAAGCACTAATCAAGAGCCGCCAGTTAGTCCAAGATCAAAAGACAAGAGATGTAGCTTAAAGCAAGTCAAAATATCAGAAACTAAGAGAGCTAGCCACTAGTTAGCCAAAAGATAAGACACAGAGATCTAGCTTAAAGCAAGTCCTAATCAAGAATCTAGTAAAGCTAGCCACCAGTTAGTCCAAGATTAAAAGACAGAAATCTAGCTTAAAGCAAGTCCTAATCAAGAGTCTCAGAGAGCTACTCACCAGTTAGCAAAAGATCAAGAGAAAGAGATCTAGCTTAAACCATGTCCTAATCAAGAGTCTAAAGAAGCAAGCCACCAGTTAGTCCAAGATTAAAAGACAGAGATATAGCTTCAAGCAAGTCAAAATATCAAGAGACTAAGAGAGCTAGCCACTAGTAAGCCCGAAGATCAACAGACAGAAATATAGCTTCAAGCAAATCCTAATCAAGAGTCTAAGAGAGCTAGCCACTAGTCAGCCAAAGATCAAGACATGGAGATCTAGCTTAAAGCAAGTCCTTACCAAGAGTCTAAGAGAGCTAGCCACCAGTTAGCCAAAGAACAAGACACAGAGATCTAGCTTAAAGCAAGTCCTAATCAAGAATCTAATAGAGCTAGCCACCAGTTAGCCCAAGAAAGATCAAGACATGGAGATCTAGCTTAAAGCAAGTCCTTACCAAGAGTCTAAGAGAGCTAGCCACCAGTTAGCCAAAGAACAAGACACAGAGATCTAGCTTATTTAAGCAAGTCCTAATCAAGAATCTAATAGAGCTAGCCAATAGTTAGCCCAAGAAAGATCAAGGCATGGAGATGCTTAAAGCAAGTCCTAGTCAAGAGTCTAAGAAAGCTAGCTACCAGTTAGCCAATGATCAAGACATGGAGATCTAGCTTAAAGCAAGCCCTAATCAAGAGTCTAAGAGAGCTAGCCACCAGTTAGCTAAAGATCAATACTCAGAGATCTAGCTTAAAGCAAGTCCTAATCAAGAGTCTAAGAGAGCTAGCTAGCCACCAGTTAGCCAAAGATCAAGACACAGAGATCTAGCTAAAGGCAAGCCCTAATCAAGAGTCTAAGAGAGCTAGCTAGCCACCAGTTAGCCAAAGATCAAGACACAAAGATCTAGCTAAAATCAAGTCCTAATCAAGAGACTAAATGAGCTTAGCTACCAGTCAGCCTTGATCAAAAGAGAGAGAGAGATGTAGCTTAAAGTTAATCCAAATATCAAGAGACTAAGAGAGCTAGCCACTAGTTAGCCCAAGGTCAAGACACAGAGATCTTGCTTAAAGCAAGTCCTAATCAAGAGACCAAAAGAGCTTAGCTACCAGTCAGCTTTGATCAAGAGACTTAGAGACCTAGCTACAAGCAAGCCCTGAAAGAGCAATGGCAACCAGCAAGCCCTGATCAGGAGTATGAGAGTGTTAGCAACTGGCAAGCCTGATGCAGGATTGTTGTCATTGGTGCAGTCAAATTACAAGAATATATTCCAAATAAGTTGTACATTTCACACAAGCGCAATACATAATTTTACGCTGTATCCATCAGCAATGCCGGTAATAGATGAAAATGCCCTGTAAGACAGTAAACGCTGTTGAGAAATAGATGAAAAAGAAATATTTAGGAAAACCAGGATAGTTTCTTTGATTTTTGGGAAGAAAAAGAATGAAATAGATCATAATTTTGGCATGGCACTATTGATCTTTACAGAGCACTGTAGTTGTTTATAAGTCTTTAGTCTCATAAATGTTTTTTGTACATTCTTGAGAACTTCACTGACCACCATGCTGTAATGAGGATTGACACCTACATTTGAGGCAGATTTTTGGTTTTGTTTGGTTTTACAACGCAGTAACACAATTTAGGTCATATGATGCCAAAGCAGGAAAGATGATTTTGGCTCACCTAAAGTGTTACAAACTTAAAGTCAAAATTACCTCACCTGCTGGACCTAAGACATGCATAGACTCTAGATAAGAAGTAGATTTTGTAATGATTTGAAATTAAAATAAATACAGATTTTTAAAATATTCTTTTTATTTGTTGTAGATATGTCAGTCTTTGCAAAATGAAAGGCTTATGTCTGATTGTCCCTACCTTCTGATGAAAATAAAATGCCCTTGCCAAAACATGTGCAATGTTAGACAAATTGGGGTACCTCATGTAAGATGATACATGTTAATTTTTACTAAATACAACCCAAATACAAGACATTTGAAGTCATGATTATACTCTTTATTGTGTGTATATCAGAACAAGCTGTTTTTAAATAATGTTTAATAGAAAGCTAGGGGAGGTCAATTACATGTTGATATTGGGTAATTACAACTGGGTGTACCTGAGAGCAAAGGAAGTTTCAAACTAAAAGATGCTGAGGGCAAGAGTAATCACAAAGCTATCATAACCCGTACAAAACAAACCCAAGAAGAATACTATAATAAATGAAAGTATAACATTGACACAAGCAGTATCAAGATCAACAAAATTTTTTTTTCTTCACAATAATTTCTCCACGAACGTGCCTTTTGGCAAGAGCAGCTGTACTTCTATCACAGACAGACAGACAGATTTAAGGCAAGACAGCAAAAAAAAGCTAATGTGTGAGTCATTGATAATGAATATTTCATGTGATTGCGAAACCAATGTCTAGCTGATAATGTAAATTAATAAACATGCATTTTCTTGACAGACCTGTGGCAGACTTTAAGCCGGAGATAATTGCTAGGCCTTGTATGTTGTAATAGAGGCATATATAATGACAAAGTCACTTTATCTTAACTAAAATTAAAAAGGCTAGATTATCATTTCATTTAATATTATGAATCATATTTATTGGTCTATTTGATCTCACAAAAACAAATCGCTTGGTTTTTATGTTCAATACCTTTGCAAAATAAATGTTTTATTTTTGATAATTCTAGCTACACTTTCATCATATTGCAATATATTGTATAAGAATAGCATACTGACATCTGATTCTACCTAGGTAACCAAGTAAGACCAAATTCAGCTTCCACCAACCACATCTGATTTACCTATGTGACCAGTTAAGACCAAGCTCAGCTGGCACAAACCACATCTGATTCTACCTAGGTTACCAATTAAGACAAAGTTCAGCTGGCACCGACCACATCTGATTCTACCTAGGTGACCATTTGGACCAAGTTCAGCTGGCACCAACCACATCTGATTCTACCTAGGTAACCAAGTAAGACCAAGTTCAGCTGGCACAGACCCCGACCACATCTGATTCTACCTAGGAGACCAGTTAAGACCAAGTTCAACTGGCACGGACCACATCTGCTTCTACCTAGGAGACCAGTTAAGACTAAGTTCAGCTGGCTGACCATAATTATCTGATTCTACCTAAATGACAAATTATGATCAAATTCAGCTGGCATCAACCATATCTGATTCTGCCTAGGAGACCAGTTATGACCAAGTTCAGCTGGCACCTACCACATCTGATTCTACCTAGGTGACCAGTTAAGACCCAAGTTCAGCTGGTTCACCACATCTGATTCTACCTAAGTGACAAGGTATGACCAAGTTCAGAATGGTATTAACCACATCTTATTATTCTACCTATAAGACCAATTAAGACCAAGTTCAACTGGCACCGACCACATCTGATTCTATCTAGGAGACCAGTTATGACCAAGTTCAGTTGGCACCTAACTGATTCTATACCTAAGAGACATGTTAGGACCACATTCGGCTGGCACCGACCACATCTGATCATGGTCTGCACTATTAAATTAGTCTGTACATATTTAAAATGATGAATTGTTCAAATCTTGTCCAGATTGAAAGATGAACACATCATAATGGTTTCCAGACTGATCTATAAATTGAGATCACATACTATGTGACATAGTTACTAAAGAGAAGGCTTAAGTATTCTCTTTCAAGTTCAATTAACAGAACAGCTTGATTGTAAACATTGACCTTCCGTTATTCGGATGCAAAGCTTTCTATAAA